ATGACTTGAGGGTGAGTAATTTATGGGCTAATTTTCATTTTTGGGTGAACTAACCCTTTAAGAGGCAGGTCAAGTGTCTTCCTAAGGAAAATGGTTTCAGATGTACTTCCATGACATCTTTAATAAATTCAAGCAAATTCTAAAAGAAATTTGAGTGAGTTTTAAATGTACCCAAGCAAATATTTCATGATTACAGTGCTTATTTATCGTTAGAAGTGTAAAAACATGAAAAAAGAAGATTTAAGTTTTGAAGACTGTTCCAAAAGGTAGGGAACTTAATTATGCTGTCTGCCCTTTGAGGTGTTGTAATATACTGCTATTGACCATAACTGTTATGTAAAAAAAAAAATGAAATACTCACATCACGTTAACTGTACACTAATGATAATACCATAAATAATCTAGTGCCAGTAACTATTTCATGAACACTCCAACACAGTAGGTGGCAGTGTTGCACCTTAAGGCTGGTTGCCACCTATCAAAAAACGTAAAAAAAAAAAAAAGGCGATGACACAGTATGGTAGGGTGACCATACGTGCCATTTTCCCAGGACGCGTCCTTGCCAGGATTTGTTTGGCTTTGTTTTCCTGTTTTCATGCTTGCGGAAGGTAATGATCGAAAAGTAGTTTGACCAATAACATGCAAGCATTGTACATAATGGACCAATCATGGCGTGTGAGAAGGTGGGATCTACGGTCAAAGCGATGCAATTACGCGTACATATTAGGTGTGTTCGACTTAAAAGCAGTGCTTTTAAGTCGGCGGCTCAGACCGATCAGTGTTTGATATCAAAGTACCTCGGGAGCGTTTCGAAAACATAACCGTCTGTATGGTACTTTGATGTCATACACCGATCGGTCTGCACACGCAAACAAAGCCAAAACCTAGATATTTTAGGCAATATAGAAATCCTGGCCAGGACGAGTCCTGGGAAAATGGCACGTATGGTCACCCTACAGTATGTAGTTATTACTGACGCACAAAATCATGTTGGGAGGAGAGGACAGAAAAAAGCAAGACACTTGACCCAAAAATGTAGCTCACCTTTGGGTTCCATAAAAATGACAGAATGTTAAACACATCAGTCTGCAGGGAGTTCTTTTTGCGCACTTTTGAAGAGTTATAATTACAAACGCACACTTCTCCTCCCTACATTCATATTTTGAGGGTGATCCATCAAAAAAAAGAGAAAACAAAACAACATTATCAGGATGAAATTGACTTTATAGCATTTTTTCAAAGTTTCTGTAGATATTGTGATAATTCTGTTATTGTGAATTCTCTTGGCAATGATGATGTTAGGAAAATTTGATATTGTGAAAACCCTACCTGCAATAATACTTTCTTTAGGTCAAATTTAAGGGCAGCATTGCATGTACCCTTCACTTAGAAAGAATGTGATAGAACACATAGTGAAAAGTTTGGTGAAAGAAATCCACAGTATGACTATGAGCAAAGCAAAAAAACGACAAAAAAAAAAAAAACACTTATGATAATGAAATTCTTAATAAAAACAGCTTCTCAATCATTTAAAACAGACTGTTTTACTCAATTTATTTTATGCCAATATTGCATCATTCCTCTCTAGGGGTGCAACGGATCGTACGTGATCCGTACGGATCAGGCTGCACGGTTCTGCACGCATGTGATTCGCGGATTAACTCTTAAGTTAACCATCATAGAGTTAAAGTTTATCATTTGCACATGTTTTGTCTTGCCAGTTTACACATTCAAGCAATTTTAACTCACGCGCTGTTTTCTGTGTGCTCAGCCGCTGCCGCACACACCCAAAGCGTGCACACGCAGAGAGAGAGTTAAAATACCCGTTTTGGCAAGTATTGTAGTAAACACAGTCGGTTAGGTCTTAAGTGAACGTAAACAGCTGAGAAAAAACTTTGTTCTTGTTTTATTACTAACTTTATTAGTTAAGCTAGTAGTTTTTGCTGTGGTATAGAAGTACTTAAAGTAAGCTTTTAAAAAGGTTTTTTTTTTTTTTTTGCTGATCCGAAAAATTATCCGATCCATGACTCAAAATCCGTAATATGATCCGAACCGTGAGTTTTGTGATCCATTGCAGCACTATTCCTCTCACATCGCCTGCACTGAAATCAATTTTTAGTTGTCTTCCATGACACTATTTCTATGACGCACAAGTTTCTGCCTATATAGAGCGCTCCAGATCAATCGCTTATGTGGTTCTGTTTCAGTTAGGATGCTGCCATAGAAGGCAGTTAGGCTGCTAAAATAGAGCTAGGATGTTGCGCAAACATTAAATTCGGAAACGGCTCACCTTTCTACCTCCATACACTGCCTACGAAAACAGCATTTTTCTACTTTCAGACACAGCCATCTCCTGTCTCCAGGCCTCATTGTTTTACTTTCCTTCTTGCTCATTGTGAGTCCACACATCACAACGGCCCACTAAATAAACTCCTGGATGTCACAGTTACGCCTGCCAACCTCACAAATCACTCTAACCTTGCCCGCACAGTCCGGCTGCCACCTTCAACAACAAGTACAGGCACCGCAAGCACAGACATCAGACGGTCTAACTCGTCACCATTAGCCAGGACTAAAAATCATGCTTTTAATAAATGCACCGCACCGGTATGAATTTCCATGCTAACTGGTCTTTGTTTGAATCGATAAAAAACGATTTTGCCACATTGTTAACACATTCAGAGCCCAAGTCCAGATTTTACACTTCTGCCAACAACTCAGAGAGCATAATGCCATTCAGGATGATTTTGGCAGAGTCTGTTGATGGAACCCAGCACAGAAATGACAGGCGTATAAAGCTTTCCTAGGTAAGTGCCCTCATATGGTCTGAATTGCACCCTGACAGAGTACTTAAACGGCACAGGAACAGCATGACCAACGCGGCAGATGTGACGGCACATGGCCACAACTGCAACAACCGCAAACCCACTAAAAAGCAGTAAATAAGCCCACAATGAGATGCCAAGGTGCATTAAGGCTGAAGGGTCAGGAATGAGGAGCCTCCACCTCCAACTGACTATGTGAGGAAAGACACCTGCGCTTTGGGGAATGGGAGAGGACACAGGAAAAGAAAAAGAAATGAGAGATGGATGGAGCAAGCGTGAGAGAATGTTTATGCAGCTTTTCCCATATGATATATACTGTATATATACACCATTTAAAACTGAAAGTAAACAAAAATGTTTTTCAAAGACGTCTCTTATGCTCACTAAAGCTGCATTTTTTAATCAAAAGTAGAGTAATATTGTGAAATATTATTCAAATTTAAAATAACTGTTGTCTATTATAATAGATTTTAAAATGTAATTTATTCCTGAGATGGCAAAGCTGAGACTGTCAAAGTCTTACTGTGTCCCTCAGAAATCAGTCAAATATGCTAATTTGGTGCTCAGGAAACTTCTTATTAATATCAACGTTGATAATATACTTAATATTTGATAATAGAATGTTCACAATAACAGCATTTATCGAAAATATCATTTTTTGTAACATTATAAATGTCTGTTACTTTTAATTAATTTAATGCATCCTTGCTAAATAGAAGTATTCATTTATTTAAAAATAAATCTTGTTGATCCTAAATAAGCCATAGAATAGATGACATATGCTATGCTATGTCATCACATAGGAGTTTAGAAATTGCATGAGGGTAAGTAAATGACTACAATTGTCACTTTTATGTTAGCTCTTTGTTTAATGTGCACCAACAAAGAGCTCTCATCCTGTCTGAATCCCACCTGTCAGCGACCGAATACAGAGAGAATACAGTGGGGCTGAATACAAAGAGAACCGACGCAGCAGGACTGGGATGTAATTGTGGACAAAGAGGTTCTCCGTACAGTGAGAACATATTCAGCTCAATCAGAAAACGTCCATATCACCGCAGCCACACAAGGCCTTTCAGAACACATTGCTTTCACAGCAATTAATCGCTGTCAAAACATTCATTAAGGCAACGATTCCAATCCAGTCGACCAGCATTCCAGCAGAAGACGGACGGGGGCTGGCAGAGTTCAACCATGTGCACATGAGAGCATTGTGTACGAGAGTGCAAGAAGGGGAAAAAAGCGAGAGAGAGCAGCCTGGCTCAGCTGGGCTTCTTCAGCATAGCCAAACAGCCTGAAGGGACGCAGCTATTATCTGTTCTTTCCCTCTCTGTGCCATGCCACTCATTAGGATGCTTAGTTGACCTCACCTGAGCCTAATGCGACAGCCTGGCAACAAAACTTTCATGACTGTAAAACAATCCCACCAGGAGCAGCACAGTCAGAAAAGCACCTATTGTGAATCCAGTATAACAGCTTGATCTATTGAAATCTGCTTTTGTAGTATTATAATAAGGAGATTAAAATGACATGACAAAGAAAAATGAAGACATGACCAAGAGAAATGACAAGACAGAGAAAAAAGAATAAACAGATTATGACAAAACAGAAACATACATGTACATTTTATTTTAAAAATAAAGATCATTAAAAAAATATATGCACATGCAGTACATGATTGTCTAATTATCTTTTTTATTTTAAACATTGATCTTGTTATTTTAACCTCCATATTACAATACTAAAAACGGTTTATATAGACAATTTTGTTTTGAAACAATACACAACCCCAATTTATTGTGATTTGCTTGTTTTAGTAGCCTAACTAAGCAATTCAAACAAAACCATATTCGTTTATTTTCAACTATTTATTTATGAACATTTTCCCCTTAAACAACACATTGTTGCAGCTTGTCAAAAGCGTCCTATAGCGGATTCCTTAGGATCATTGTTTTTAAAAGCACGCCGACTGTCATTTCGATTTCAGGTTTAATCAAAGCTTCTCATAATGCAAAAGCATCACTGATTCAGTCCTCTCTGTATATGTTTATTAACTTTACAGCGCCGGAATATGAAAAGCACACGCCTGCAGTGAGAGTTATACTTCCACTAGACACTTCACGCCATGTACGGAAACAATTTACCTGGCGTCTAAACAACTATAAAGACACATACCTTCCTCTGCACGGGACTCCTCATTTCTGTAGAGCAATAATATCCAAAGCACCAAAATGACCGCTTTAAACTGCTCCATATTTGAGTGGCCAGGTCTGCGGGGCTCTGGTCATGTCGCAGCCGAGCACGCTTGACTCACGGAGCAGAATGAGACGGAGCTGTCCGGGCTACTGACACGCACAGCGGTACTATGTGCCTTATTTGGCGCCACCGGTGGGCGGGCACAGACAGCCTGATTGACAGTGAGAACGTCCAATGGAAAATGAGTTCGCAGAGAAGGGGGATTAGCGGAGGGCCAATCAAATCACGTCTGATAAAATTCCACCGCACAGAGTTACTCCCCCTTGAATGGGAGGCGGTGTTGAAAATGATGAAATTTGGTTATCTTTAGCTCACATTACAAGCGGCTACTGATTACACGGCATTTATTTATTTATTTATTAAATAAAAGGCAAAGTAAGCTCTCAAGGTTCAAGGACAATAGCGTCTGAGAGCTGTGAGCGGTCCACTGAGAGTCCTTTCAAATTATTTTATATCCGAATAGTGTGATATCCTGGTGTTAAAAGTAAATTTTTAGTGGTGTTATAATTATAAATATTATATATTAATTGTAAGATATCATATATTACAGGCCTAGGCCTATATATTAAGGTTAAGGTTATTTTTATCGTTTCCCATGAAAGAAATTGTCTTGGATAAGGGAACTGCATCACCAAACATGCTTTAAACACGTAAATGAATAAGTTCAAATTTTAAAATTATTTAATCAACATATTTGAGCATTTTTAATGTATGTTAGTGCATATGGAACACTTGCCTATTAAAGGTGCAGGCGCAGTTAAAGCTGCTGATTCAAAATCCAAGCATTTCTATAGAAATTGGTATTGGCCATTAACCAAATTGGCCATTGGTAACAGCGCTGACCAAAAGAAAACTCAGTCTGGCAGCCAAACATTCTGCAATTCTATTTATGTCAGTCACAGGAATGACACAATTCAGTTTGCTGATAAAGTACACATGGAATATATTATTCTTGCTGTCTGATAGAGAAAAATGGTAAGGAACCTTTATAAGTCCAAATTCTTTCCTATGATGTGAAGTTTTTAGAGTGGAGCATCATTGAATCACAGTATTCATTCAAAAATCAAATCTCTAGTGGGGCCCACGGGATATGTGGTACACTCCAACACATGCACACAATTTACAGCCATACATTTAATATAATTTTTTTAATATAAATCATCTATAGTCCAATATCAAATGATCACATACCAAATCAGTAACATATCATATACATTCAGGAAGTTGCTCACTGCAAAGATTAACTTCTCTTGCATCTTACTGACACTCAAGCATAATAGCTGCCAGGAGACAAGAGTTCCACTGTCTTCATTCATTGGTAGTCACTGCACATTTGCATAAAGTGAAACTTTTCTCAACTTTGTCACGTCACTGGACATGCCAACATCTTGTCGCCTGTAGCTCATTTCACCTGAAGGCGCCAGCTCACTTTGAAAATTAATGAGCTCACATTGAACAGGGAGACCCCGTTGTTGTTTTTTATTTGCATATTATAATACTGTTTAAAAATGTCTTTATCACTTTTTTATTTGTTTTTTTGTTTTGTTTTTTTACTCAAAATATCATAGAACCACGGTTCATTCAGCACAGAATCAATTTCATGTGCACATTTGAACACACATGATTGCAGGGCGATGTGGATCCTTGTGAAATTACACATGTGCATTACCGCCCCACACCTACGCAAAACCCACACTCTGCATCTGTGTAACAGTGAAGCCTGCACCTATTGTTTATCACGGCATTACAATTTCATGCTAGGCTACCTTGAAGCACTCTATACTGTAGTTTTGGCCCTTAAATAAAAAAAATGAAGTCTGCAGAGAAGCACTTGACCTTTTGTTCAGAAGTCATTTTAACAGTCATTCAGGTAGAAAAAAAAAGGAAAGGAGAGAAAAAGAGAGGGAGGGGTGGAAGGAAGGTGGCTAAAGATGCTATTAGGAGCAAGCGCAATTTTAATGTGATATGGGAGCTCGCACACTGTAATATGTGTGTAATCACTCGACAATCTCAGGGGACGAACTCACACACACTCACCCCTTACAGCCAGGAGAAATCAGGGGGGTTATTCCCAGTTGTGCTGTACTGAGTGTGTTTGATTCCCTAAAAAAGGAGCTCTGGAATCAGTGAGCTGAGAAGGTGTTAATGTGGCACTGTAAGAGACACTGCACCAGGGAGAATGACTACAGACTCTTTTAAATGGACACGGGGGAACGCTATCATTTCAACCCGCTGTTTGTCCCTGCTGTAAAGATGAGATATGTTGTAAAGAGTCGTTTTGACATTTTAATGAAAGCCAAACAAAAAGGGCCTGGTCCGAGGCCGAGAAGGGAATTGTGGGTAATTATTTAGATTTTGTTTTTCGCATTCATAACCATATGTTCTGTAGAGCACTTTGATGTTCTCCATGTATAACCATGTTAGCTCACACTGGTACACGAAGCTTCTTGGGTAAACTGACAAAATCACAGGAGGTTGACAGTTGTTGGCTAATGAGTGTGGTTGTTCTAATTACCAGCAGAGCCAAAGAGACATTTTGAAGGTCACTGTGTTGTAGCACATTGGGACTCAACAGGAACTGAAGCATCCAGATTCTGTTTGTATTTTAAGTGAAAGTGGATGTGTGGATGTGGAAACAAAAGAAAAAAACAAGGGACTTGACAGGGACAGCCTTCAAGCGGAGTCAGAAATATCATTTTTAAGTTACGCGAACATGAACAGTGGTTTCATTAACAATTCTTTTAATACTTTTAAGGAATATATGGAATAAAGAAATGAAATTACATTGGCAAATGATGAGATAATTACAATAATAAAAACATTTTTAAAAATTCCTTGCAAAAGGTGTATTTACCGAGACTTTTTAATGTAATTTCACAGAAAATCAATTATAATATATTATTATATTATATTATATTATATTATATTATATTATATTATATGTAATTGTAATATAAATTAGCTATATAGCATCAAATTGACTGTAAATATTAATCAACAAAACAAATGATACATATTTACATATTAAATGTGGCAAAATTATTCTTTTTTACTAAATAACTCTGACAAAACACATAATTGTTTATTGTGTAACCACACACAGACACTTAGTCATACATACAAACAACCAGTCAGTGGGTCAGCTTCACCGTTGTAAACTGTGTTTGTTTGATTCATTAAAAAGGACCAACTCAAAGTCATTCATTTTGGAATTGGACTACATTGGTTACGCTGTATGTTTTTGATTCACTAAAAAAGTTCCACCTCTTAAGAATCATACATTTGGACTGCACTGGCACTGTGTGAAGTTGATTGATCAAAAAATAAACATCCATTAAAGGTATAGTTCACCCCAAAATGATATTTTTTATAAAATCCAAGAGCTTTCTGACCCTCCATAAACAGCAAAGCAACTACCATGTTCAAGGCCCAGAAACATAGTAAGGACATTGTTAAAATAGTCCATGTGACATCAGTGGTTCAATCGTAATTTTATGAAGCTACGAGAATACTTTTTGTGTGCAAAGAAAACAAAAAATACGACTTTATTTAGCAATTTCTTCTCTTCCATGTCAATCTTCGACGCACATTCACGAGAGTACCACATCGTACAAAGTTGTTATTTTAATTTTCTTTGCACACAAAATATATTTTCGTAGCTTCATAAAATTAAGGTTGAACCTCAGAACGTGGTAGTTGCATTGCTGTCTATGCAGGGTCAGAAAGCTCTCGGATTTCATCAAAAATATCTTAATTTGTGTTCTGAAGATGAACGAAGGAACGACATGAGAGTGAGTAATTTATGAAAGCATTTTCATTTTTGGGTGAACTATCTCTTTACGACATTTGTTCAGTTCAGTTTCGAGTCGTAGATTCAGTAGAAAATCTACTACTGTTGCGGCGCCATTAAAATTGCGGTAAATTCTGTCAAAAGAGCATTCTAGCTCCGTCTACATCAGCTGAAGAATGGACGTGTGAAAACTGTTTGGTTCCAGTATTTTATTTTTATTTTTTTCATAATTTTTGGCTCCCAACACTAGTGCCTATACATCAAAGATGGAAGTAACAAATTTAGATACTGTGCATAAATTAAATAGTTTGTGTAAAAGTTAAGGCAAAAAAAAAAAGTTAGTATGTGGGTTAATGCTTATGTAAATTTCCCCCAAAACCAGGTTAATAATTATGCCTTCACCTGTCACTCAATCATCATCATGTAACGTTCCAATTTTTCCAAACCCTCATCTGTTCCTGCTAAGCGCTGAGGCTACCAGCCTAATATTGTGTTATTTTGTCTCCTTTAAAGAAAAAAATAGATTGTGAGATATTGCAGTAGAACAGAATTATTCCGGGTGCAGTGTGGCAGTTTGCAGATAAGAACCTCGGCTAAGTAATCATAAATATTAGCATGAGCCCGGCGGCCACATTTGGAGATGCTCAAACTAGGAGAATTCATCTCCCTGTTCTAAAGGCAGCCCGATGCGGACATAATCCCAGTTATATCCTTTACCAAAGAGGACTTACGGCTAGCCAACAACCATTGCTCTCCTCAAATATCACCCTAGATAGGCTTTTCTCTCATAGTGACGGTGGATTAAGGAGATGGACAGGGGTACAGACTGTCATTGGGGGTATGTGTATGTTTGAGTGTGTTGTCATGAGACGTTCATGTTTTATTCGAATGGCAGGGAAAGCGTGGCCTTTGGTTTCTTTGTATCTGCACGCACAGTGTCAGCGATAGGATATCAGTAAAAATCCACTGCTGTTTGTAATTTACCTGCTTGCAGGTTTTGGCTAAACAGGAGATTTTCTTATTTTAACTCCTTGTCAGTTCCAGAACAAACAAATATTTGTGTATTAATTTATTTATTTATAAAAGGGCTACCAAATCAATGCTACAAATTTCACTAGTTTGAGTTCTTAAAAGTCATTAAAGGAATAGTTTACCTAATAATTAAAATTAGCTAAGAATTTACACACCCTCAGGCCATCCAAGATGTAGATGAGTTTGTTTCTTCATCAAAACAGATTTGGAGAAATTTAGCGTTACATCACTTGGTCACCAATGGGTCCTCTGCAGTGAATGGG